AATGCCGTTTACGTAGCTTTCACCTGGTGGCATTATTTTGGACATTAGTAACAGGACATTAGTAACAGGACTCGTTTGTCCTGTTACATAAAATTGTGTACGTAGTCACAAAAGGTCGTAATTCGCGCCATCACCGAATGGTGTCACATCACTGAACTATGTCCAACGTGTTCTTGCAGAACTGCTGTACACTATATGGGGCAAGATATGGGATGATGTCAGATGGTGGAAAGTGGGGTAATATGGTCACGCCATTTAAGAAGAGTCTGATACGTAGCCAAAAATAACCGAGCGAAAATCCATAACAACAGCACCTCTTCAGCGGAGCCTATAGAACGAATGTTGAGGTTCAAAATCAGAACAAGTGCCATGGCATGAGGATGCACGGTTAATTCTTCGTTGACAAAATTAAGGTGGTAAAAACCTTGGCGTGAACTTACGTGCATCCGCGGACGAACCAAACATATTCTTCGACAGAAGATCCAATGCTTGATCAATGCGGCACGAAATACTTCGAGGTGCTCATTATCTAGGTTAGCTGTGTCCAGGACCGACGTGTAGAAACACATCCAGAGTTCATGAACCCATCGTTTGAATATAACAACGATTTGAACAAAATTTAAAAATGTGCATTTTGTATTCGAAGCGCTAAAATCTCACGCAAACATCGCAGATTCTTATAATTTTTTTTTCAAGCAAAATCAAGTTGTGACGCTGGCAGATTCGGCTGTTAATTGATGTCATTCGCGTCCTCGTTGTCAGTTTCTCACGGGTACCTGAAACAATACTTGGAGAGGTAGGCAGTTCAGAAGGATTATAGTGAGCTAGCACCAACTCCTTTCATCACCGAAACTAATTGTTTCATTCACAGCTGAGCTTTCAAATAAATTATTTTGTACCCTAGCGAAGCATCCACGTTCACCACTGACGTGAAGCTGTCGCCGGTTATGATGAAGATTGCGATAGTGAAGATGATGATGGTGATGTAGATATACGCCAGTTTTGTTGTGTTTAGCCGATTGATGAATGTCAAATAGTAATTATAGTACAGACCATAAACAAGCCCAGTAGAAGTGCGCACATGGTGGAAGAAAGAAATACGCGATACCATTCTACGCAATAAGAACATGAGAAAAATTGTCACAGTTCCTGTGGTTATGCACTTGTAATATTAGTTAACCTAGAAGACCTTCGGAACAAGGTTAAATTTCATCTGCAGAAAATTGCTTTCGGAGGTTCAAGTTAGCTTAAAAGCTCCGGATAACGCAATGGCTAAGGCCCCAAATTACTGGCTGTGTTTCGATTCCAGCCTTCGCATCTAGTGTTGTCTAGGCTTGGGCAATCCGGCGATTGCTCAGCCCTTTTGATTACTACGGGTAACATGGCGGGGGGCTGCATGAACGTTGGGGG